AAAAGAAAACTCAAACATTTTTTAAATAAGGGAAAACCGAATTTGAGAAATCCTGATTTAATTTTGAAAAATCTGGTTAGAAATTTGGAAGAAGAAAAGTCACTCTAATTCATATTTGCCCTTCGACATTATTACAGAAATTACTAGGGAAGGTGGAACATTTTGCGATTTTATAACTACTTAAACATCAAATAATTATTCTAACAGCAGTTGAACTAGAAAAGTTCTAGTTGAGAGTCAAAAAAAAATATTGAAATTATAAAAATAATATTCGAATTCAACATACTCTGAATAGCTAGAATCGTGTCTCATATATTTAAAATTGAAGAAAAATATTGTTCAATTTTGATGACCCGTGAAAACTACCCTTGGAATCCCCTCTATTATTCTTGTCTATAATAATGTCATATGACCCAATGACCCATTACAAAGGACAAATTTACATCAGAGTGATTTTTCCTCTTTATGATCATATGCTTCCATGGACATGTTATCTAATAAATAATAAATATTAGATATAAGATAAATAAAGCTGTTTGTACCTTTTCGGCTTAGAATTGAGCGTTAAATTTTATACCTTACAAAAAAGCAAAAGTAAAAAATATGATACATATCGACAAAAACAGCACAAAAAATTTGACGTTATTTTCTAAGTCATGCAAACAGCTAATACATAAACATGTAAATAGCAACAATAATGAGGCAGAAATATTCGTAAATAGAATGGCTAAAAAATTTTGTATGTTTTTTAAAAAAAATTGTAAAGGTGTAAACATTTTTATGAATAAAATAATACATTGTTAAACATTATTATGAAGAAATGTATTTTAATTGTTTAATTCGGTTAAAAAACTGAGTTAAAGGTAAGTACCTACATATAATTAATATTTTTATAGATACCTAAGTAGATCTATTTCGTTTAAAAAATTAAATAACATTATTTTAAAAAATCATCAGCCTAAAAATATTAAACGCTCAGTACAAAAATTGATAGTACATTAATAACTTTTAACAGATCATGTGAAGTTACTAAATTTGTTGCTATTTAGATATTAACTTAAATACTGGCCTTTCTCATATAAGAATAAATATCAAATCATTTAAAAAGAACTAAATGAGCTAAGAGATTCAAATTCAATTGTTTCTTTTCTGCAGTATAAAAAGATTATTAATTTTGAAGTAAATTTTTCTTTGAGAAATCAAAAGTGGGCAAACATTCCAATAAAATCCCTTTTTGCCCTTCATTGCAGTTTGTCGACGTCCTTTCGATTGTGATCCTATCTCATTTTAACAATTGTGGTTTTTCTATCGGATCACACCCTGTATACACTAATAGATTCTATTTATATAAATAAACTAACCTTCGTGACCATCGCGCATCTTACTGTGTCAGAAAGCTTGCCTGCTCGAACGTGACGTTACTGAGTAGATTTCACGGACGACAAAGGACGTTGTACACATTATACGAAAGGATTAATTTGTTAAAGAATGTGCAGTGGATGTGAATCAATTATTACATTAATAACTTAAACTATCCAAGGATTCTGATGAATTTGTTATTCCTGTGTGACATTATCAAAGCGTTAGTGGATTATATCGAGGATTTTTCGTTGGTTAATTTCCATTAACAACGCCCAGTGACGTAATAAAGGAAAAGCTCTGTCATCTGCAAAGTTTGTCGTTCATGGCTGAGTTAAATTAAAGGTAGGAATTTTTAATTTTTATACATATAATTAACCTTATCTGGGGCTTTTTTCACATCTAGGGCAGTGCAACTTTAACAACGTTTTCACCGTCTCTATTTTTATTATATTTTATATGTACAACTAATTATATATATACGTATTTTGTGTTTGAAATTAATTGTTTAACAGCGCCAAAATTTACGTGCGCGTTTTCGTTGCTAGTATTTTCCTCTAATTTTTGCGACATTTTAACCTCTGCCGCCTTTCCCCCCCGCACTCGAAAAGTATTTCCAACATGCAATTTTGCGGTGCAATCATTTGCAGCGCCACCTTTCTACGTACCCTGAGCCTTTCAGTGTTTTCCAAATCCTC